GGGAGACATCCCGCGTAGAACGTCATCACTTTACAACGTTGCCAAATCAAAATCACTTCACCTGAAAAAAAAACCTTGTGACAAGGTCGAAACGTCCTGATCTCCTGTAAGATTCAGCATTAGAATTAATTTTGTTTCATTATCTTTTCGTCTTCACGTTTATACCACTTTTGGGGCTGAATTACATGCACTGTTATGGAACAATTCCACTAGCCCTGTCCACAGACAAGGATGGACGAGTCGCTGCACAAAACGCGTCAGACAAACCCATCTATATACGGAAATTATTTTAAAAGCCTGTCCACACCCATTATTGTCTTCAGTATAATACAGTGTCACAACCAATATGGTATGCGGGACTAAGGTCGCATTTAGAGCAGCGGACTAACTAGTCCACGTGTCAAATAAGGACGACCCACTTGAATACTTCCCCATGGGTAATCTATTCAGTGTCTATTATCGATAAGACGGCAAGCTTTTTATTGGGTCTTCATATTTGACCCGCGGACTATTTGGTCCGCTGCTCTGAACGCAGCTTACGCTTTCAGTGATTATCAGTCTTGCGGAAATCACAAATGTTATCTTTTGCAATGTACTGGAGAAAGGAAATGATAGACATACAACAAAATGCGTGCAAAAAAATTCGATCTGCATGCCGCTGAATGACTCCAAACTGCCCTGTAATGCCGAGAACCACACTGTGCGTTATGAGGATCGATTCAGATGCGATCTCTGGGTGTGAACGAAGCCTATTGACGTGACCCCAATAGACGGGACAGCCGTATTGCGGATTCATGGGTTTTGCGTTATTTATCACTTCACGACTGGCAGCGATTGTCTTTTATTGAATCAGTCTACACGCTTAGCCTACTTAATCATTCTTCTTCCTCAATATCCTCTCCATCATATATACTTTGATTTGACTTTAACCTTTTCATGATTGGAGAAAGCAGGGGAAGGTTGCACGGCAGAACTTCAGTCGACAGCTTGTGCTAGCTTTAGGATCGAAAGTGTGGATCATATTTGACCATGGACAAACCAGAGCGAGTTTGCGAAAAGAAAAATAATGGGCTTGTCTCAGAGAAAATACAAACCGAACAATACCGCACTAGGGTCACAATTGCTTCTTCTTTGTGGTCTACTATTTACTCATCCCAGGTCCACCAAGACAAGTTAGACTTTAGAATATATTTATTTATTATACTGAATAGAAAGGTCTAACGCACATTGTATTTTCTCATAATTTTAAATTTTTAATAAGCAATTTGTATCTTTTTTTAATAAGCTCTTGATCGGTCATTTTATCAGTCAGTCATCTTATCTGTATGGCTCATTGGAATTGTAATGAAATGCAATGTAAAAATTAATAATAATAATAATAATAATAATAATAATAATAATAATAATAATAATAATAATGATTATTATTATTATTATTATTATCATTATTATTATTATTATTATTGTGCTTTTAAGTGTTAGCATCGCCGCTAGCCACATAAAGCTTTTACAGTCAAGTAGTAGTACCCTTGATAAATTATTGTCGATTCCATAAAACGTAAAATAGATACGACGTGTCCTTGGGTTTGAAGGAGAAATATTTGCCACGCGTAAGAAAAAGAAAAGAGAGCTTAAATGTTTCACCAGTAGTCTGATACATTGTGATTTTGTCATTTCACGCAAATCCTTCATTGATAATTGAAAATGAGTTCAATAAACTCAGGCATTTATCGTTATGTTGTATGAAATGGATTTCCTCCACCCCGAAAAAAAAACTGCAACACCTAATAATATAGGGCTTGGGATTGTAGATTGTTCTTTTCCACATCTTATTTGAGTTACTACTAGTATTTTACCAAACAGATTAAATCGGGGAATAATTTAAAGACTAAATCTACGAGCTATATGGCACTGCAAAGGTCAGATAGCGACAGTGATTATCATGTAAGGATGAAGTCGTCAAGGGGATATGCTACTGCTTACCATTACCTAACACTTTTACCTTTGTTTTTCATCACGTAATTTCCTGCCTCATTACTCCGAGGTACGATTCAAAGCTGTGGAAAATTCCTTTACATGTAGTGCACTCCAGCGTACTGATATGGTATTTGTCAGTTGAAGAAATTTGATTTGCTACGTGTACCACAGTTGAAAAAAATGCCCTAGGAATAGCTTTCCACCGTAAGGTTTAGCCAATCAGCCAGTAAATTCTACAAAGCCAGTCCCAGAGCCTCTTGTTCGTGTTTCTTGTAATTTTTACGGTCGGTGACTACGGGTAAGTGATATAACCATTGGTTTCTGGAAAGACCTTGAAAAACGATTAAAAGGAATCACGCCGTGCCTTGTGTGCAAGCTGCGAGGTAGATGAAGAGAAACGTAAACGAGATAAAATTGGGTCAGCAAACTTCTACAAAGACAATGCGGTCTCATTTAATTTTTTCTGGCATTTCAAACTGAAGAGAATTGAATTTCATTTCGCCGAAATACAGGGCGTGAAAAAGGAGCTAGGTCTATTTTTAAAAGTATAGATACTAAAGTTTATCGTTGACATCAAGACCCTGCGTACGGGCTAATACAAAATCACGAGTTAAACCGTTTGTAAAACAGCGGTCCGCGATTGGAACATATATTGGTGTGCGATTGTGCTGCATAACTACCGAAAGTGTGTTCCTTTAATGTGCACTTTTTTGTCTTGAACCTAAATATATATTTCACCTTGGATCGAAAACATTAATAAAAAAAACGATGAAATATAATCAAATGATAAAATTAAGTCCACCTCAAATCACCGTAATATTAATTCCAGTTTACCACGTAGCGTTCTTCAATTTCTGTTTAATTTTGCTGAGTTTAAACTTCGAAAGTCAAGCAATATGGTTTTCTCCTTGGTGTTTTTTCTAATAGGTAACCTTTAAGCAAGTGCCCCCACAATGGTGGGTTTCAGTTAGGCACAGTTCCTAGTGTGTGTGTGTGTGTGTGCGGTATGAATATATAGACGTATAATGTCTACACCAGCATATGTATACTATGTTTGACTGATTTCAGTGCATTGGGAATTTCACACATATAGAATTGTCCAAATTGCAATGTAGAGCCTCGTCGAGTGGTTTGGCTAGCTTACTTTTGTCGTATTTGTGATTCGTGTACTGGAGTTAATTGTGATGGCGATTACAAGGCTTTCCGTTATTTTCGTGCCGTAGCAAAGCGTGGGTTTAAATTGCTAAGAAGTGTTGTCAGCGCAATTTTGTCGACCGTGGGTAATCCTATCTAAATCCCACGTTGCGAATTCAAGGTTATTTTCCAGCAAATTCCTCCAAGGAGTTTTAATAGCATGGTCTTGACTTACTGTGATTTCATAAGAAACTATCTCTTATAAGACGCGCAGGTGACACACTCACCGTGGGCGATTCGTCAACGGTGTTTGCCTGTGCCACGCTGCCTGCAACTAGACAAATACGACACCCAAGAGATAAATTCCCCAAATACTACCAATTAAGTAGATTAATTGATAAAGATTAGATTTAGAATAGCAAAAGATGGGTAATACGGTTAACCGCATCTGAATAATAACAACAGATCGCCTGAAATAATCGCAGCTGATGATGAAGATGATATTATCTGCTATTGGTTCTGAAAAAGATCATCAATGGCTGTCGTATAATCGTTGTCAAGTATTTTTGGGTCACGAAGGATGCTTACTGTAAAGCTCCGTGAGAAAATACTTAAGTATAAGAAAATTTCCAAGATATTACAGACACGATTAAATAAATTGTTCTTAAAAATCTTCAATTCAAACCTGTAATATTGCCATCAATTCTTATTGAAATAACAAAACTCATCAAGCCTTTAAGGCCTTAACAAAACTGCCTCTCATGTAAAGATAACAACATTCATAAACAATAAACATTTATTATTTCAATGTATCGTAGGTCTGTCTCCTATAACCCCACATGCAGTAAGAGAATACAGTTAGAGCATGCTGTATTTCACATTATAAACATTCAAACGTATTCAGGACGTTTCGTAGATGGACCAAATATTTTGGCATAAGTCCCTTTTGTCACCTGTCAAAGAAATTTTGCATTCTAGCGCCACCCAAATGTGTTGCATTTAACAGATGAAGGTGCACTATGCATGTACCATGAGCATTGTAGAACTTATCAAGTGAGTAAAAGTTTTATGTTTCCTGGAAAATGATACATGTATCAACTTAAGGAAAACTGATTTTGTCTTTCGGCAAGTGCCCCTACACGTATAGTACAATATGAACCAAATAAAAGCAAACAGTATTAATTTCAAAAGGTAGCCATGTTCGTAGATAATAACCCATGGACGTTTTCATTCAATTGTCAGAAAAGTGAAAATATCAATAAGACACCGATTTATATTTTTTATGTCAATGGTGAATTTCGTGAAGCAGATTCACAAAAATATGTTGACCAGCCCAGTGCATCCGGCCCATAATGCAAGTAAGGGATATCACAGTTACATCTTCTTAATTTAATTTAAATCATTATTATTTTTCTCCCCCTCTCTCACCAACTCTCTCTTTTCCTTTTTTAGACCGATTGTTTGGTTTGGTTAACTAGGTCTATTTCATTATATTTTATCTATTCTCTTTTCAGCTTTCAGCTCCCGTTTAGCTAGACCTTCGAACTCAGGAGGCAAATGTTAGGGTGTGGTACACATTCAGAAATATAATTATGGACGAGTAGGTCTCCTGCTTCCCGTCCTTGTGGGTTAATGTATTCAAACAAGTGTTGGGGAGAGGGGGTTGCTTTTCCCCGGACAACTACATGGAGACGGGATTTGTGCGTTACTCTGTTTGAAAAACAATGGCAACCTAAACAACATAGCTGGCAAAAAAACAAAAAAAAAAAAAAAAAAAAAAAAAAAAAAAAACGGACACCTAATAGCAAAAAATAAAATAAATAAATAAGTGCAACAACATTTACAAAAAGAAAAAATGGTCACACAAAAAAAAAAAAAACAATCCGATTATGTCGATTTTCTGTCTCATTAACTTACAAATCCACTCAGTTAATTTAAGATTAATGTAAAAATACGGTTAGGTATTTAAGGGGCGAACCAAAAAAATCAAATACTTTTGAAAACAAAATTATCCGATCATGCCTTTTTTCGAAGTGAATTCTTTTTAACCCAACAGAGCTACTCAGTAAATTAAAATTAAAACAAAAATAGGTACAGTTTGCCAGTCATAAGGACTGATGTTTCGGACAGCAACAACGACGGCACGGACAGACACATTCATCAGAATATATACAGACACACTGTACATAGAAAACGGTTACAATTCATCTTTTTACAAATAATCAGCGACTCCGTCGCCATCCGCCAACCCCGGCAATAACAAGAAAAGGGTTTGCTGCGAATCGTATTTTAAGGCCACTTTTTTAAAATGCACAAACGCAAAAGGCCATCTCAACTACTGTGTGTAAATAAATATCTCGAAAAACCATTTCTGCATCTACATTGGTACATCACCATGTTTCTCATAATCTGAAGTTGACTTAGACACGGGTTCCTCAGTTAACGAGAAGCTTTCTTCTATTATTCTTCCATCGCTATATCGAACCCTGTCAGTACAGAAACAAGCCTTTAACAATCGCATCATTTTGCTGTGCCAAGAGGCCAAAAGGGAACGAAGGGCAATTCTAAAGTCTCGCAGAACAATAATAAATATAATAAAGTCCAGTACAAAACGCAGCTGGCCTATATTAGAAAGCAACCACTGGAGATGATATTCGTTAAGGTCCGGCTGATGTCCATCACTAAACTGGAGATAATGAAGACGTAATTTAACAACGTGGTCCGGCATAATAATGAGTACGTGCAAAACAACTAAACTCACAGCAAGGCAATTCATCTTTAAGTTTTGTTTGTGGTTGACATTTTCTCTCCTTTGGGGCGATTTTGGAGCAGGTCTGCTTAGGTCGTTGGTGGTGTTGAGGCACTGTGTAGCGCCATTTGCGTCTGAGCTGAGGCGTCGCTTGGCCATGCATACACCGAAGACTTTCTTACGCACTATCAAAGCAACAAGGACTAAAATACACACGTCTGGAATGAATATAGTTACTGCCATCTGTATTGAATCGATGACGGCCAGGCTTGGTTCGTACTTCACCAGGAGTACGCATTGTCCCTCAACAATCCCCGACATCCAGGTTATGTGTAAAAACATCACAATGGCAAGAACAGTTAAAGCGGTGATGACAAACTTGCTCCGTAGCACTGTGCACATTTTTCGAGCTTTGCCCACCATGCATGTGCATATGTATATATCCGTAAGGAAGGCAATGGTGAACCATATGGAGAGAAAATGGAATATGTAACTGCAGCAAAGGATCAGCTGACAGAGGCCCTCTACCAGAAAAAGGTTAATGTTAATGGTAGGTGACCAATTTATTAGCGCCGTGGCGAGACACCCTGCGTCTGCCGCCGTCATTGCGGCTAAATAGTGAGATTTTGAGATGGTTCGAAGATTTGGTGCTCGGCTGAACAGGATCGAAGATATAATGTTCACAATGAAGCCCACGATCGCAAGCAAAGGAAAATAATACTCGGATAGTGCCTTTAAAAACAATGGCGGTAGTATGGTGTCGTAATAAAAGTCCGTGTCGTTTTGCCATTGTGACGCATTATCAACGTCAAAAATGCCATCGTCTTGCATTGTTGCAAGTTTTGATGTGGTACGTTAGTCGTGTCCTTCACATAACACCGACTTTTTCCAGATCAATAAGAGATCGAATGATCACAAAAGCTGTCATTTTATCGTCACTCATTAACGGTACCCAGTGCGCTCACAAATGACGACTAAGCAGATGCCTTCTGTTGTTAGTAATTCGTGCTCAAATGTCTGAAGTCTCCTTGCAATATCATTCCACACGATTATTTGATGAAAAACATTTAGTCATATTCAGGTTCTATAGACGCTCAACTCTCTATACACGGTATCTCAATGTAATTTTTTTCAGTTTTTCGATGTCACGAGTCGGGAGGTAAACTCGCCTGCTGCCCGACCTTTCTCAACAGTGTACTAGCATATTATGTATTCTAACAGCGCAGGTTCTTGTCTTTAAATTCATTATCAAGACAAGCTACACGCTTTGTGTAAAAAATAAAATAATCAGATCTGCTCACACCTCTTAGTCTCTCAAAGGATCTTGCTTATGAAGAATGATTGCTATTCGAGGTTTCGACCTCAGTGGATAGACTCGAACTGCAAGCGCTCCATCTATCGGCATAATGAAAAGTACATGAAGATTGATTCTCAGTGTCGAGTTAATTTTCCTAGTTCACGGCCTATACCACGTGAAACCTTCCACGTGCATATTCCCTAGTGGGCTTGCGTCATTTAATGTCATAACGTTCAATATGGTTCAAGTGAACTCACTGAAATAAATTGGTTGAAAAAATCACACTTTTCTTAACTATCATAAGACCAAATGTAGAACTAGCAAAACAGACTCTACAACCCCCCGGCAACATAATGAATCTTTTTTTTTTTCAGATATTAAGATTGATGTAAAAGCAATCATCTGGAAAAGCGTTCTTTCTTTCCTTTGGTCATTCGACGTTCACGCTTTCAACAAAAATATGTTACAATATATACAACAATGTCAGATTTTAGCCGATTGGTGAATTTATCTGCCTAGGGCTTACTTACCTTAAGCGCGCTATTCCTTAACCACAACGGCGCTAAGCTAGAGCTGTCTCCAAACTATATCGGCTTCATATATAGCACGTTCACCACTTGGCTGTGACGTCATCAGATGTTGTGCAACTGCGCATGCCTGAACCTGGAACATCGTTTCTGCTTTTAGGCAATTGGTGGCAAATAAACAAGGGTAGGTGACGATGCAATCACTTTATTATTTCAATATTGATAATAGTGAGAAATCTGTTAATGAGTGAGGCCTGGGTATTTGCAGCAGCTTAACAGTCCTGGCAGTCAATTATTATAGGAAATACTACCGATCGTATGTTTTATAAAGCATCATATCGTCTCTATGCTGCCGCTGGACTTAAAGTGGCATAAGCATATTCCATTAGTAAACAAAGTGGTGTTGGTTTCAAGGAAGGCAGGAGTTAACAACCCATGAAGACAGTAGAACTTTATCGTTTGATTTATGGAGGACAGCAGGAATCATCGGTTCAGAAATGATTTTAAGTGTTTCTTCTGGAAACCAAGATAGCGCGTTGGTGTTGCCAAGACAATAGGGGCGACACGAGTTGCGACGGTTGATTGATCCAAACCTTTGAAAAAACTAGTTACAATGTATAAGCACATTATGTACAGTTGAAAGATATCATGTAATCACAGACCCTAGCAAATATTCTTTTGAAAACATTGAAGGTACATCTACTCGCACGATATTGCCAATGACAAAGACAGATCTTTCTTGCAGTATTGTGTGCAAAAACCTGCAATTAAGTTCCGCTAAAAGGTCTTCCCGTACACTGCACAAAGCATATTGTCAGCATTACATCTAAGGGCTTCAAGTTGCAAATGGTCTGAAATGTTTTATGTTTACTTACTTTGCTTTCTCTTAATAACTCCCCGTATCGGGCAGCTGTACAGTATGTCTTTCAATTTGCAGTTTACAGAAATGGATTCTGATCGTTTCACAACTGGGCTATATGTTCCATATATTTGTGCATCTTAAAAACCAAGGCCTTACGTTTCACTTATTTTTTGAACCTATAACTGATTATCTTTTTAAAATACTATGTGTTTATTTGCCTATCCATTGCCAGATTATTCACGCTATATGCACCAGTGTGTCTGATTATATGAAAATGTTCACGTACTATTTGCTCTAAAATCTGATGTATTGAGTTTGAATTATGTGCTGTTTTAAAGAACTAAGTTGTTAACGCTGGTGTACCGTTGGGGAATTGTCATCAAAGGTTTCAAAAAATCCAATAAGTCAGATTATACGGAAATGCCTCAGACCTTGTTGAACATACAGTTGGTACATTAGTTATGGGAATTCCTTGTCAATTTAACTACATAAGAGCGTCAAAGGCTATCGCATGAGTGTTGAAGAATAAGCCGCGCGGGACACACATTCCATGTTTGGTTACTATGCACCGTGGGCTCAACCGGCACATTACAAAATTAATCCCGTAGCTGTCGCGCGCGCGACGCAAAATTGGTACTGAACATTAGGCCCAAAGGGGGCGCTGAACCATGCAGAACCGTTACATTATGCCGTGTTTTATGTAAAAACATTATAAGCATTATAACCTTATCAGTTCCAAACTCCCCAAGATAATACCAGGCATCACGACTAAGACTGATTGGATTTCACAAAAAAGTCTGAACGTCATTTCAAAAGGTATCTCATATGTTTTTCGCTTTGTTCAAATTTGCATAGATAACACGCTCTATGTATCATTACACTTACATGCTATAGTCAGTCAGAAAATGATTAGCAGATATATGATCAAAGGAAAACCTTGTCAGGATATCAAAGATGCCCTAAATTGACAGCCATGACTTCGCTTGATTGTACATATAAATATAGACGATTGCTAAAGCATGCTGGGCCCATGCAGTAAAACGTTATGGTGAAATAAAATGAGAAAGGCCGATGAGATAAAAAATGATTTAATAACCTTAGATTGCAGAAAGCACGGGTGAACTCATAAGCACTCGGAGTGCTGTCTGCTTCGTTATTGTTTTATATTTCAATTATATAATTATGTGTCCACCGTTCTGACAAAAAAAAAAAATGTTTATGTGAACACCCGTCTGTGTCGTTTGGCCCAACTTTTCAACTGGGTAGACAATTGAACAAGTTATACACAAGTTATACATAAGAAATTGTTCGCCAATCAAAACTCATTTTTGTAATATAAAAATATAAAAGGTGTAACAATACTTTGAAAAATACTCATCCCTTCAAACCATCCGAGCATATATATATATATATATATATATATATATATATATATATATATATATATATATATATATATATAACCCGTATAATTGACCTCACGAATGCACGTCAGTCTATCGGTATTTGACAATATTCATGCCAGTAACTATAGCGTTACTCAAACCCCACCCGACCTCCGTTAACACCATTCTTCGAGTCCCTGAGCTTCACCTCTTACCGACCCGTTAGAACCCACCTTCCTTAGCCTTCACACCCACTCCTCAGGGATCTTGGGATCTAAGAGATAGCGACGTCTGCGGATATCAAATTTCCGTCGTGAAAGACCAAATACACAAGACTGTTTCCAACCATGTACACCGTGCCAGACGCCAGCTAAATAATAAATGGCGCCAGCTGACTCTTGCGTTTTATTATGCAATGTCTGATCATCGTTTTGTTCCTAGTTAAGAGAAATCGTGCTAGAGTGCGAGCGTGTGAGTGAGCAAAAGCATATGAAAGGAAAGAGTCGATTTTCACAATTTCTAGCCATACACATCTTTTGTGTAAATGGAGATTTTTCCATTGTACAGTGGATTCAAAACATAGACATGATTNTTAAATAATGTACTTAATTAAATTTATGAAAAAATTAAAGGACAATAGTTTGTTAGTCGTCGGAGGTGAAGGTCATGCGTGTGTATCAAGGTCAAACTTGAAATGGGAGCAAAATCGCCTGAAATACACCGAACGGCTATAATTGTCATAAAAATACAATTCCTTAAAAAGCAATTTGCACAAAAGGTCATCATATATAAGATAAGATAGATAAGATAAGATAAGAGTTTATTTAGCCAATTATGAAAATCGGAAAATCATTTTCCTTTTGGAGCAAGTTTCATAATATACAGAGTAAAAGTAATAAAATTAATAAATTAAGAATTTGGTTTTGAGATCAAATTAAAATGCATCACTGCACTTGGAAAAAAGCTGTTTAAAAAGAGTTAAGTGCCTTTAAAAGTAAAAAGTCTACTATTGCTTGGTAAAAACGTAAAAAGCGATGATGCAGGATGAAAAGGATGATATATAATTACAATATAGGTAATGTGCACGTGAAGGTAAAGGCAAATATGCCTCCTCCGGTGTCCATATAAATGTCACTCTTTCTGTATACCTATGCTATCATATTTTCCGTAATTTTGGTCTTTGTTATGCTTCAACTTCAACTTGTTTTTGCTTGCAACTTAATTCTTATTATATTCTTATCTGATTCGTGTTGCACTTTACACACGTCTTGTAGTAAAACACCTTATTTAGTTTTTCGTAGGGAACATGTATCCATTGTGCCATTTAACAACCAGCCTGCGTTTATTTTCCCCTTAAACAATGGTCAGGGAAGTAATAAAAAGAAAGCAAACTTTATAGTACTTACCGCTTATTTGTCAAACGCTAACGAAAGGTATTGACATGGGGTCGCTGCAAGCAAGCAAAAGATAGTACGCTAACACGACCCCCCTCAAGTGTAAAATATTAACAACCGACAAGTCAAGTATTTTAAAATTTAATATTCAAGTATTTTTAATATTTATGAATAAATTAGACGTTATTTTTTTCCGGTAAACATTTTGCTCGTTACTCAGAGTATGCAGTCGTCTTAAACACCGTAAAAGTTTAAATGTATGTGTGTGTTTGTGTGTGTTTGTGTGTGTGCACATAAATTTGTTTGTACCCCCTCTCACGAATTGACTTGTTTATTTCCGGCCTGCATATTGGGACTATTATCTTTACAAAACTAAAACAGCTTCTTCACATACGCCATTGTCCAGAAAAGTGGAACATTAGCTCCCACCCACCACCCCCGCCCCCACGCCAAGACGAGACCTACCCCAGCACGAATAAGAAAAGGTAGTAAACAGGTAATGTATATGTCTATAATCATCCTCGATCTCCGGAGCACAAGTAAGGCCTGCTGTACGTGTCTGAGTATTGAGTCTTCGCATTCTATCCGCATGATGTAAAAGTACATGTACGGTCATACTGGGGTTTGATTCTCATGATACATTCTACCGCGCATCCTCAATTGTGTGCAATTGAAATCAAACTCAAAGTTGAAGGATATGCTAACGTCAGTGAACATGAACCGATTGCTTAAGCTCCAAGTAATTGAAAAAGGTATATTTTGGTTCCTGTTCGTCTTCTGAACATCCTTAATCGCAGTAAAATGTCATGGCCCCAAGCAGCCCTTTGAGCCTGGAGACATTATTACTCAGTACTTAAATGAAAATCTACGATATCGAGCTATTGAAATAACGCAATTTGATCATGCACGAATTCAAACAATGAGAACACCCAATAACACGAAAACCCTTAAACAGCTACCCTATTAAACAGCCATGGGTATCCATATATTGAATGTGGGCAGTATGTTAAAGATCGTCTTTACATCTGTCAGTTGAAGATAATGTTTGACATTTCAGTAGTGAAAAGATGACGTTTTGTTCCTTAAGTTTCAAAGAATGAGGTAGGAATACATGGGCTCAAACAAAAGGGCTGATTGTAATAAATACCTTTATCGTGTGTGTGTGTGTGTGTGTGTGTGTGTGTGTGTGCGTGCGTGCGTGGAACCAACAATGACGTGTCCCGACACTAATTTTTTATCCCACAATATCCTATCACAGTGACGAAAAACTGGTAAATTTCATGCCCGTGCCTTAACCTTATGTGATACGTAACAAGTACAAAGTAATCCATTTAAACGGCGTTATTAGAATTGATTGGATCCAGTTCAAAAAGACAGCGAGTTGGCACTTCAGTACGTATAACGATTATAGAGCGTGTGGTATCATATGCATCATGGACCAGCTGTTGACCGTACTAGAAAATAGAGATTTATGATATGAAAGTGATTGCT